ACACACTTGAAAAGACACGAGAGAACACATAAGAATAAAATACCCAACAATTGGAAGGAGTGATCTGAAACAACAACTTGATCAGTGTGAGGTTTCATGCTTCTGTTTGACATATGAATGAAACGTGAGTATATTTGGGGTTTGACCTGTGCCAAAGACTTGTTGCTTACAGCCCTGATTAATTACTGTTATAATTAAAATGATGAATGTAGAAATAAATGACCAAGTGAGCAGTCTGTCCAAGATGAAGGAAAAAAATCTTGGCCGTTATGGGCAGAGGAGTCACATTCCTGATACACAGGCGGGTCTTTGCACAAAGTGATGGCAGCAGGAAGGAAAGACTTCCTGTAGCATTTTACAGCTGAGCTTACTGCTTGTAGATTTAGGATCCCAGTTTGTGCGGCATCCTCCTGTTCGCTACAAGACATTCACCAGATTGTTTTTTGGCTGCGTGGCAGGTTTGAATTAAAAATCACAGGGGGCATACACTGCTCAGTGCGTGAAACATGCTTGGTTTCATTGTCTTCCATTCAGAGGGCTAGTCAACACTGCTGCTGGACAAGATCCAGACTTTAGTGGGAGAAAAGGTCACAAGATCCCAAGGCATGCCTCAGATTCCTGCTCGATTCACCAGTGCCAGATGCTTAATAGTGTGACACAATGAGGTGTATGTGTGTGCGCCAACCTTTTACACACGCTCCAGTTCTATCAGTTGCCTGTGTTTGGGCATTGAAGCCCATCTTGCACCCCGTGTTTACATCTTTTCCTGTGTTTCTGACAGATCTCCACTTGGCAGCGGAGCTTGGGAAAACCCTCCTGGACAGGAACCATGAGCTGGAGCAGGCCCTGCAGCAGATGTACTCCACCAACCAGGAGCAGCTGCAGGAGATAGAGGTGATAAATGTTCGGAAGGAACTCATGAGAGTTCTCGAGGCCCCGGCAGCACTAAACTCTTAGCTGCATTTCCATTTCACCACGCAAAACACATGCTGAAACATATACACCTTTTGCTGTCGGTGCATATTGAGCTGCAGATATGTGGTGATTTTATTTGAATGAGACAACAATGACAGATTCATTGAGGAGCTCTTTCACTGGAAGCGAGGTGCCATTGTGAATTTCTTTAAATAGGATGGAGTAAAAGCTAATCCTGATCAGTCTGACCCAGTAGTGAGCCTTTGGTGTGGCCTTGGCAGGATGTTCGTCTGCCTAATTATAGGAAAACTTTCACCTGCTTATTTGCCGCCGTCTACCTTTTACTTGGACATGGTCAAGTCAACAAGATCTTAAAGAAGGCTTTGCTTTTGCTACAAATATTTATGTGTTATTCCCAACCATTTCCCTTAAAGGACCCCTTTTCTATCATTGAGGAAACTGACGACCCCTGACTGACATGTTTTATTGATATTTCATATTATATTTAATGCATAACAATACCAGCACAAATAACTGTACACTTAACTCAAATAGTGAACACAATAACTGCAGGAAATTTGTGAAAAATGGTTTGGATTCATTTTGAGCACCTTATTTCATGTGAATATTTCATCAGAGATGAGTTTTCCTTATATTTTAAGGAACTTTCTTAACAATTCTCCGTCTGTATTATGTATATATTTTTATTTATTTTTAGCAATCATACATATTTACTAGGCTTCTTTTTTGACAGTTTCAGTGTTTTCTTCCAACTGATGCTCGGCCATTGTTCTTTTAGCTCCTTGGTTGTTTTAACTGTGTATTTTAATATGCAGGACGCAGCCATTTAGCACAAAGTGAAGGCTCTGTGAATTATTTATCATTATTTAATTAATTATTATTTGATTAAGATTTATCCTGTTTTTAGATTTATATCTTGAATAATTATTTAAACTTTAAAAACCAAAAAAAATACTTTTCTTCACAGAAATAATTGAAATGCTGAGATATAGCATTTAACCCACTGCTCTGTAATTATTATTTTTTAAAGTTTTTCTCACACCCCTTAAAAATTAAGAAGGCTTTGCGACCCCCCCATGAAAGTGTGGCGACCCCCAAGAGGCGTCAGGACCCTCTGGCTGTTATGTCAGTCTACCTCAACAGCCGAGCATAAGCTCATAAATAAACACACCTAGGCCCTTATGTTTCAGTACACACACATCATGGCACCGTGCTGATCTATTTGAGTACGAGAACATGGCATTGAGCGGACCAACAAAGATAAGAGCCTTAATTTGTTTACGGTAGCGAGGGCCTGTGGCTCGAGGGTTTATTGAGGTTGATATGATAATCCCCATACATCTCCCTGACCCTCATCCTCATGCAGTGTCCGCCACTGGTCCTACCCACTGCACTAATAACAACCTCAAAGCTGTGTGTTTGTGTGTGTGTGTGTGTGTGTGTGTGAGAGATAGAGAGCCGTGCTGCCGTCCTTGACAAATGGTTGCATTGATTTCTACCAGAGAAAAGTAATTTAGTTGAAAGAAGATGGTGAGCCACTGCAGAAACATCTTTGTAGATAATGAGCACATTCTTGTCCACCGTGCAGTATAGCTCACAGATGCATGTTATGGTTCCCTGCCACAATGCTGAGTCCTTTTAAAGGCCTTTAACTGGCAGCTCTTTTTATCTAAGGGTGCCTTTGTCTTTGTGATAATAAAATGTGTTCATGTAGGATGTAAAACCAAATGTAAAAGTGTGTAAAACTTGCTATCACCTCTCCTTCTTCTCTGTGGGTCGGGTTTAAAGAAGAGTTAAATAACCTCACAGGTTGCTGCTTAATGTGTGATAATCAAGTGTCCTGTAGACTTTAGTATCTCTCACATTAATCTGAATCAAGAAATCAAATCTATAAGCACATGTGGAAGAAGAAATAGGAAGCGCTGCACTGGGTTAAGACACCAAGTGATAGTAAAAAATCAGGTGCTCTTCAAGGATAAGGTAAGTAGTCGAATAAGAATAAAAAACACAAAGACTGTCCAGCTTCATTAATGTTGAAGTCCATAGTATAAGTTGGCAGTCCTAAAAGTATCTTAAACACTTTGACTGTAAGCAAAACTCCTTCATAGCACATGGACGACAAATGCCTGTCAACTTTAACAGCCATCATAAGGGTATAACAGGCACTTTAAAATGTATCGAGAGGCCATGTGACTCGAGAAACACTTGAAAACAATGACAGTGAAAATAACAGAAAGAAATGTAAATATGTTCTGTGACTGACTCCCACGTGTGACAGCAGAAAAAGAAGCTGAACCATGAAAAATAAAATGAAGGTCAAACTGACAGTGACAGTAAAAAAAACCCAGTGAAAATAAAATAAGAGCTGATACACTGGGACAAACAACAGCTGGACGAGACAGACAAAATCAAATATCACAATACTGCTACGATACTGTAGGGTCAACTATCTCAAAACATATATATATTTACACAATGACATTTTTGATAAATAAGCATCAGTAATGTGGATGTAATGACTAAGGGGGTAAAGGCAAATTAAAAAAGCTAGCACAATAAGTTCAGAAAATGACATCACATCACTGTAATGTAGCCTTTAAAACCAGGAAAAGACAACACTTTTTTATGATATCATGGTATCCAAAATCTAAGATGATATCTCGTCTCATATTGCAGTATTGTATGATATCAGTGTATTGCCCAGCCATCTGGACAACAACCTCACTGGGCTTATAAACACATGTGTAGGGCTGCAACTAACAATCACTTCCATAATCAGTGAAAACAAAATTAAAAAATGTCCAACACAGTTTTCTAGGGCTCTAGGTCACGTATTCAGAAGTCTTATTTTGTCCATCCAACAGCTTAAAATCAAGCAGGGAAAAAATGAAGCCAATGATTAAAGTGCCCAAAACTGCAGTTCGTCTAATGGCCACTTGAGGCTGGTTCTAAAAGCGAGTCACTCCCCGCTGACCCCATGTTAAAATGCCCAACT